GAAAGTTGTGAGACAAGTCTTGAGTCAAGATTTGCTTCTCTGTGAGACTGAGGCTCTTTTTTTCCAAATCATTGGCAGAAATGCAGACACTCATGAGACATGTTGGAATCTGGGATATACACAGAGCAAAACATGTCTGTTGCTTGGGTTTCTTGCTATTTTTGTTGCTTATATGTAGTATAAATCTATTTATGTGTTGTAAGCCCATCGCTGTGGACAGTCCTAATGTCTTATATTGCTACCTGAAATAGTTTCTTTTGGGGAGTTCTTTTCTTCTTGTTTTGGGGGTGGGGTGGTATGGGGAAGGAGTAGGGGGACCTTTAGACTCTTGTATGCTCTATCCAAGTAGGTACCACAGCCCAGAGGTGAATTTTAAACAAGATGATACTGTTGAGTTTTTGCTCCTGTGCCAAGGGCACTGTGTAAACTATCTTCCTGAGTGTTCAGAAATCTTTTCAGGTATTGCTTGGGATCTTGTCTGGCCCCAGAATGACTGTTCGTAGGCTGGCTTGCTTAGTCAGGCAATACAAAGATATGAGTGGGTTGTGAATAAAAACCAAATCTTTGGCCCTTCTCCCACAATGAGGCTCCAATGAGATATTGACTTCGGGGTCACCACCACAATTCACTCCTAGCTTGTGTGTGAAAGCTTGAGTTCATGAACTGAGCTACATTGCAGACTTACAAATGCTGAAGGATGCATCTCTGACATTCTTTGAGGTGGGATTTCCACAGTAATGCAAAGTGTGTGTGTGTATATATATATATATATGCACATATATAGATACATACACAGAGAAGTGAAAATAAAGGATATCTAGCGTGGGAAGCTTTTGGCTAAAGTTAGTCATGGGCATCCTCTTTAGACCAACTTTTGCTTGGGAAGTTGAAGGTCAAAATTCAGTGCTGTATCATCACTGCAGGGTCAGATGATAGGCAGTACTGCAAGGGCAAACAGTTGTTTAAAAACTGACACAGAAGTAGAGTTGGTCTTGAACCAAAGCCACAGAAGTTAGCTCTCAAGTTTAGTAGGTCTAGCTCCTTGCTTGAAAAAGAATCATTCCATTTATTTACCTACCTGTGCTTTATTTAAGCTTGGCACATATTCCCTGAATTCTGAAAGTCCTTCGATAAGTTCTGACTGTATAAAAAAGCAGCGATAACTCAGAGTTCCCACTAACCTCTATCACTGAATAGGTATCCCACATTTTCTGTGATGCTGGTTAAGTGTATTTAATAGTGCTTGAGTCTCCTTGACTGTCATCAAAGAAATTAATAGCTGTGTGTACCATAGCCTGGGTCTGGCCTTTTCTCCAAGAGCATCCTGTAGCATCCACATAGCTTCCAGATGGCCTGAAGAAGCAGAATGTCACCTATGATCTCTCAGGGATATCCTACAGCAGTGAGGTGCCCCTCAGAGTCTTGCATGCTGGTCTCCAGCTGTCAGCTTGCAGCTGGTGGGACAATAGCCCATAGATGAGAAAAGCTTGCACAGCCTCTTTGGTTGCTGCCAGCTGGCTCTTGCTACAGCTTGCCATAAATTTAAGAGCTTAAACAATAAGAATAAAAGCAAAATCAGCCTGGAAAGTAAATAAAATTACAAAGATTGAGAAGTAAAACAGTCTTCTCCCATCGATCTTACAGGTCTGCTTTGCAAAAAGCTCCCTGAAGAGTGAGCCCATACTGTATGTCAAAGGAGGGTGCATAACACAGTTAAAAAGTCATGGCATTACCATTTTGGCATGTCTGTGTGGTCAACTTGTTTGATAACATATATTCTGTTTGTTAACATTGAAGAGAGAGAAAATGTAAAGGCTGTACCTTTATAAAGTGCAAAGTACTTTACTTTTGTACCTTCATAAAGTGTCCAAGGAGGGCCCAATTCTTCTGGGTCCTGTGTGATCCAGGCCGAGGAGATGTACTATGTTTCTTCCTCCTGTTCACAGTTCTCACCTTTGCAGGTCTGCCAGGGTTTGTGGGATTTGTTTTCTTTGCTATTCAGACATGAAGAAGTATTTTGGTTTTGATTTCCCTATTGCTGTATCTTCTATGCAACTCCTTTTCTAAAGACTTACTACCGGAGAAGTGCTAGCCATTGCATTATTTGTATTGCTGTACAGTGGAGGTGTGGTTTACTAGTTCTGAGTGTGCCTCTTACCCCCCTCCCTTTTTCTCCTTTCCTCTGTTTGTAAATGCCTGCATTTATTCTGTCAGCCTGACATGTACAAAGTGTAAGAAAGAATTTTTAAACAGGTAATAAATTATATTTATAAGCAACTGGAAAAAAAAAATATGCTACTACTTTGTGTTCCATTGTTTAGTTCCTGGTTGGAAGGAATAAGGGGCCTTTAATTTAGTTTAATTAAAACATCAACAAACTATTCAAAAGAAATGCTTCCGTGCATAAAATCTCCTTGTAATATAGCTTTTCTTGCACTATATTGTTCAGTACACTAGCTCTCACCTCAAGCCCATCTCCCCACAGAGAACAGCCAGAGACCTGGGGAAGAATCACTTTGGGTAATTCTTCTAGTGCAGCATTTCTTTACCACAGTCAAAGATGGCAAAAAGCAACAGGTAGGAAAACACATCATCAGGTGTATGGCTGAGATGGCCATATGGGGCTGCCCCTTCATGGGGTGCTGGTGAGGAATGGCCCCCATGAAACTTCCAGCTGCATGCTAGAAGTCAGAGCCTGTCCTGCTTACCATGGCCTGTGCAAATAAAAAATAAAAAAAATCAAATAAATAAATTAAAAAAAAAAAAAAAAAAAGGCAGAACACAGCCCAGAACAGCCCAAAAGCTGAGAAACTGGCAATAAGCTTCTGTGCCAGGTTTGCTGGATCCTGAAGGCCAGCTGGAATAGGACACAACTTTACAATAATTAGCCTGTCCTGGGCTTGGATTACAGAAAGCTTTTGTAGGATTTAGTATCTTAATTTTAATTTCCTCCTATTACCATTCCTGATGTGAGCTACAATAGTGGCCAGGTGCTCAGGCCGCCTTGCCCATGTGGGACACCAGCAGGGTGTGCCATGGTATAGCAATTGGACAGATCAATACGATGGAAAGAGCATTACAATAAAAGCATGCTGACAGAAGGACCAGCATGATAGAGAAGCGCTATAAAAGAAGGGAAGATGATTGCTTACTCATATCAGAAGATGCCAGGTTCGCAGAGGAAAGCTTTACCAATGAAGGATCCACAACCAGAGATCCTTGCCCAACGGCAGTCAGCCCTTAAATGAGGTCTGAGAGAGGTGCAGCCTGGCTCCACCCCTTCCAGTTACACAGGTGAATTCACCTGTGCTCCCACAGCTGACTGGATCCTTTCCCCAGGTGCTCCATCAGTAGTTCAGGCTGTGACTCAGCAGTTCCCATACACATGGTTTCAAGGGAAGAGTGTCACTATGAGGCCTCCAGTGGGCAGTGACTCCTCCTCTGGCTTCTCTGTTAAAAATAGGACGCAGGCAACCTCTGCCCACTGTCTCCTGTCTTTTTTGTTTCAACTTATGATTATCTATTCTGTTAGAGAGAGGTTATATATGACATATATTGGAGTTACGACACAGTGCTGAACCACTGGGCTGGGAAAACAAGCCTGCACACAATTACATTCTGCATCTTCTTTCTATTAAAAAAAGTAGATATAATTAATAAATAAACTGGGGAAGAATGGGTGGGAGGAGGGAGGAGACTCACATAAAATTATTCAAATGCCAAGTTTCTATGAATTTTCATAATCAGCCACAAAATGCAAGAGACTGCTCTATTAATGATAACACTTATAATTACTATTTCTCTCTTCACTAGGTTGTGAAAGGAGTTATGCATTTTTTTTTTTTTTTTAAAGCCAATGAAACATACACGACATCTTACTGTTAACTTCCTTGCCATGGAAAAATCTTATATAAACAAATAAATAAAATGTGTCATGGTCAAAACAATCTAGCCAGTGAAACAAAACCCAAAGGTAGTGCTTTTCAAATGCATGAAAAGTAAATAGAAATAAAAGCAATCTATTTCATGGGGAGATGGAAACAATTTTATTTGGGGGAACGTTAAAACATCCATATACAATTTGAACAAATACAACAGAACAGTGTGTTCCCCAGGTTTCTAATTACAGTATTTACAGGTTTAATAAGGCACTGGTTCTCAAAAAAGAACACAAATTAGTTTCTTAGTCTTTACATCATCAACCTTTTCTTTGATAGAAATAATTCTGTGCTAGAGAAAGGATAGCAGTTGCTAGGTGGCATCTCTCTCTTCCTCTTTGTTGTATTTTTTTTTCTTTGTCTCCCTATGCCAACTTGTCTATGCCAGTAAGTCACTGAACTAAATTTTCCACATTAGAAAACTGGATTACCAAACCTGACAGCATTAAAACACCAATTAATTTTACTACCAACTTCCAAGCCCAAATCAATGCACGCTGTGAAACTACCAAATCTGGAAATGCCATTAAGAGTCTATAATTGGTAAAATGAATGTACTAATGTGTGTCACCGGGCACCTTAAAACTGTAATAACTTCATCTGAAGTATTGCATAAAGTCAACCTTGCAGCCAGCAACTCAAATGTCACTGTGCTAAAAGAAATAACTTCCAAGCTTGCCTTAAGCCATTTTCAGGTCTTAGGAAATACACCTTTATAGTGTCATTGATTATAGTGGGTAGGAGATTTGAGGGGGAAAGTGCAGCCTTTTGCGTCTAAGAAGAAAATGGGCAGTTACTCACATAAATGCAGACCTCTGCTTTCTCAGGTGTGTGTCTCCTCATCTATATATACACACATATATATATATTTATTTTCCTAAATAGCACCGTTGCAGTGATTTGTCAGTTATGCATTTTCATAAATAAATATTATGTTTTATTTAGTGCTTTACCATCCATAATATTTTATTCTCAACCCACATACTGAAGTTATTCCAGACACCCAGCTGTGTGTGTGTGTGTGTATATATATATATATATATATATATATATATATATATATATATATATATATAAAGCCCTAAACATTAACTTGAACACTTAACATAGACACTTCATGTAACCTATCAACCAGTATTTCAGATTTCTTCTGGACTGAAAAAAAAACAAGCTTGTTCAGAGAACAAGCACACTTTCACAGCACACTGACAGCACATATCTTGGAGAGCCATTGTGTCCAGTAAACCATTGGCAGGCGGCACCAGCCAGCAAAACCCCCTCCAAAACACTTTCAGAGAAATAAATCATCATTAAAGTTTAAAAAAAAAAAAAAAAATTGTATTTGAGGAAAATACAACAGAGCAGGAGAGAGGCTTCCTGCTGAGTGACTGCTTACCCAGGACCTGCAAGGACTGAGCTTGCACGTGCCATGTGTGGGACCAACCAAGTCCACCACCTACTGTTATGAAAATCAGAACAACGTCCCTGTTTCCATGAGTTTTACCCCCTCACCAGCCATAGCAGGACCAACCCTGGCCATTAGCATTTCCCATTCTCTTTGTCAGATCAAAGAAATCCAAGCCCTTTTGAGATCGGGTTTGTTTCATAAGGGAAAGGGCGCAAAGGCAAAAGGTAAAATTAATTAATGAAAATTAATGGAAACCCTATGAGTCAAGTCTCTAAGACAAAAAGGTACTATTTTTGTCCACAAATCTTCAAATAAAAGCACTCAAAGAGAGCAGCAAACTCAGGCCTCATTGCTGCAAGTATTCTATTTATTAAAGACAGTGGAAACCAGCATTCCCCCTCTGGGGCAGGATTTGGCTTACTGTTAATTTGCGGAGATTTTCTTTTCGTGTTGCTTGGTATTTTTGGATACAGGCAGGGAAACTGCAAAGCAAAAACAAAACAAAAAAAAACCCCACCACTCTAATTAATGAAAATCCCCTGATTAAACTTTAACACCCATAATCATGCAAGTCTCGCTGTTTCTCTTGAACCTTACACATTTTTCTCCATTAGCTTGAAAGAATTAAATGGTAATTTTTCAAACTAGAAATACCTTCGGGGATCCTTGAAGCTAAACCCCAATTATACTTACCTACCTACTATAGATAAATCAGTTTTGTCCAAAAAGGAAAAAAAAAAAAAAAAAAAAAAGCATTGCATAAATGCTAAGGATAAATCCAACATGGCAATTATTTTACTTCTGAAATAGTTTTAGCATAATCAAAGCAGTATTTGTAAAGATCTTTTCCAAAATTAAACTGAACACTACCATGTGAAACAGGACACAGGAGGGCAAAAAAAAATAATAATAATAATTAAGTGTACAATGGTAGCTCCCATACAGCTCAGCTTTGATAATCTGGTGAAGAACAGAGACCTTTCCACAGAAAAATACTTCATAGGGAAAATTTAGTTCTCCTGTTACCTCTCATTCCCTCTTTAGTTTTTACATGGCAGTAATTGCTGCAGCTGTAGAATGGAGGAAAAGACAGAGATAACTGTGTTGCCTGAGGCTCTTCTCTTCCAAAAACTCTTACCAGTGAGATGCTACACAGTCTCAGCTTGGTGGTGGAAACTCTCGTCGTGTGCAGGCTACAAGGTTGCTGAAAAGCCATCAAAAACAGTCATAATTTCATGTCAAAATGCTCATCAACGTCTGGTACCCTAAAAATATGGTCTTAAATTTACACCTGCTGCAGCATTCCAACTGGTGCCTGGTGATGCTAGGAGTGAAGAGGGGTTTTGGGATGAACGCTAAGAACCAGACCCTCACTGAGATGACAGCTGACATGAGGTGTTGCAGCAACATGCTGGAGCTGTGTCCTAACAGCTTCGGGTGATCCTAAATGAGATGCAACCTCCCTGGGGGCAGGCACTCACAAGAATTCTGCCTCCACATTTATGACAGTAGGGACATAACCAGGCTCTGTCTGCGGCAGGACAATCCCCAACGTGCACAGGGCTGTGGGACAAAGCCAGGGAAGTGGCTTTCAGCATGATTTCCACTGCAGCTTCTCCGAGATGCTCAGACCCTCTCTTTTTCTAAATGCTGGAGTGCAAGAGTTTCATTATAAATGAGAAAGTCGCTTTGCTTCCATCATCAGCACAGTTTCATCCTTTTTTTTTTTAATGTAACAATATACATCCTTTTAACTTCTAACCAAAGGTTTTATTTTCATAAAATTTAAAGCAGTATCTTTTAAAACAATCAAAATAATAATAATAATAATAATAATAAAATAATAAGTGGCTTTCATGGAAAGCAACATGCATAATCTTAAACCAGTTACTAAAACTGTATATCCCTGTGTAAACAAGGGCAGATAAGCCTCTCCCAGCCTTGCATGCCAAAATTCAGCTGATTTTGCTAAGAATTATCTCCTCAAAGCTGTCAAACAAACAGTTGCTCTTAAATACGACTGCAATCAGGGTACTTATCAGCATCTCTCCATGACTTCTGCCTGCAAGAGAAAGTCTGTTTCCAAGGGTCTTCATGAGAAGGAGCTGTTTTTGCTTCATCAGAGCTTAATGTCCTGAGACTCTGACATTTTGGCAAGTGTTTTCTTGACTCGTAGGGCTGTGAGTCGGGACGCAGGGCTATGGGCCCAGCATTCCATCATGAGCTTCCCCATTTGCCGCAGGCACTGTGAGGGTAAACAGAAGGGAAATCAGTGGAAGATGAGACTGCAGCTGGTGGCCAACAAAAGGGAAGTGAGTCTTTTCTAAGGAAACCAACATAGATGCTGGCTTTGAAAAGGAACACTCAGCCTTGCTCTGCAGCTGGCACCTCCTTTCAAGCACACTAAAGCCTACCTAGAGATAGACACAAAACATGTTGCCTCTGGTGTGACCATCCTGCCTGAAGGCTCAGCAGCTGCCATGAAGCTGTGTTCCTCGGCACACCTTCCTGCAGGCTGTGGCACAAGTCACTAGGAAAGGCTGTTTTGTTTTCCCTCACATTCCCAAATTATTCATAATCTGTGTAACCTCAAATGTTCATTTGCCTTCCAAAAATTCATCTAAAGGGTGCTGTTCCCAAATGACAGCTGTCTTCTGTGACTGTAGAAGACTTTATAGCACGAAGCTATACCAATTAATGTGATTAATGACCCCTCCATAGAATCACTTTTTGCAGTCAGCAATTTTGGTACATCAATGGTTTGTCTCTGACTCTACCAGCACCATGTTGCTTCATTACAGACTCTCAGTGGAGACTGTTCAGGTTCTCCTGCACTCCCCTTACATCAAGATTTGACTCTGGAAAGAACTCTGAGTCCTACACCTCTTTCAAAAGGCTGCATCAGTAGACCTCCTTACTACAATGCAAAGAAGTGCTGCTCCTGTAAGACATAAAGGCTGCTCTTCTGTGCAGTCTGGATGTAGTGCTAGCACTGCATATTAATACCTTAAGTATGAAATATAATATCACACACACTAATGCTAATGTTAAATGATGCTAAAATCAGGTTTTCAGGACTGTACATCTGTGATCACAGAAAAGCTGTATGCTGACTTGATTTTGACTAGACAGAAGAAATCTGAGGTAAAAACCTTAGGAATCACATTCTTTGTACCAGTATCTACTGAATTTGCAGCCAGTACACCATGTACGCCATCAGTGCACTCAGCACTAAGAAATAATTTAGCTTCCAAAATGTTTGGTTAGCCACTGAATTGTTATTAATGCTGGGAAAAGAAAGCAAAATGAGCAGATGAATACAGAGAGACTAGAAAGGTTCAGCCTGCTGTCAATACATGATCTGGTAGACAGGCAGCAGCCTTTGGGGCTTTCTACACCTGCAGCTTCAGTGGGCATCTCTGAGAACATCACTTTCCTTCCTAAGCCTGGTTGCACCAGCAGTGAAGTTCCTCCTTACTCAAAATGGCACAGAACTAGGTCAATGTCATTTACTCATTCTGATTAAAAATATTAGGAATTTGAGCCCATGCCCTGTTAAGCAACAAAGCTGTGTTTTAAAGGATGGTACCTCATCGCTGCTCCATCTGTTGGGGAATGAAGGACGTAGTCTTTTGATGCACACAATCTCCCGCATGTCCTCATAGGAGGGGTCACTGGGCACAAGGTCGTGATATGGAAGCTGGTATTCTTCCACTATTCCTGAAAGAAAACAGCAGCTGCACATCACTGAAGAAGACATTTTCCACTAGCCTCTTGTTGTTGACCACACAGTGCTGCCCTCTGCCATGCACCAAGCTTTGTCCACTTTGTCTTACTATTATTCCACTTTGGCCTTTCCTGCTTGAGTTTCATGAATGCATTGCAATAAAAGAAGAGCTAGCTCATGGTTTCACTGCAGGGCAAACTTATTTTATTAACCCTTGCCATTCTTATCTGGTGTAGGGCAGTGGGACATGCATATCCAGCACTCCATATTTATTACTCATCCACTGCTTCCTCTAATCTCAGCCATTCCTTCTTCTGAAATGGATTTTCTCAGAGTTAAAGCAAAGATAGCATAAGCACAATTTGCTGAGAAAATACCCCTAGTGGTTAACAATTAAATGCACTTCTAAAAAGGACTTCACCGTGAAAGTTCATGTTACAGTCAAGCTCCAACATAATCATTAGCTACTTGCCAAGTGAGACAGTTTCCATCATTGTTGTCCAGTCTAGCAAGCTCCAATAAGTCATGCTAAAAAAGAATAATTTCTTAGCAGTGGGCTCCTATCAGAGCAATTATGCAGATAATGACCTCTGAATTAGGTTTACCTCATATCAGTGGATCTGGCACATATTAAATACCTGCTTTTTCAGGAAATGGCAAAGCATTCTTTCTGCACAGCAGTGATGACAATATCATTACAGACTGTATGCAAAATCACTGCAATTTACTCTACCAGTGTGCAAATACAGGGATCACGTTGCTCACCAGTGAAATTCAGCTCCTCTCAGGTGAGCCCACAGCAAGCATTCAGCACAACACTGTGAGGCTTTAAAAATCAATAAAGTCTGGCGAAGGTAACACAGGCCCAAGAGATGTGCTCTGCTCTTTATTCGCCACCAATCTGGTGTGTAACTGCTGCCAAGTCATTTCTCTGCATTTAAATCTCCTCAGTGGCAAAATAGAGGTAATAACAGCCATCATTTCTGTACTACACTGAACAATACGTGCAGAAAACACACATGGTCTATACAGACAAGAAGAGTTCTTCACCCTAAAGCTGCAGCTAGCTGCATTGCTTCATCACTCTCCTCATGCTTGAATGCCCAATACCAGAAGGAAATGAGGCACATGACTGGTACAACAAATGATGTAATAAGTGCCACTTCCTCCTGTTTTTTTTTCTACTTGCCTTGTAAATAGATTATTTACTTTAAATAGCAGTGCTGCATCCTCCCAAACTGTTTATATTTCTTCTTATATTTAACTCCAAGAAAAAGAAAAATTCACTATGTTCTTGCTGCTAAAATAGCTGAATGCCTCCAGTCCAGAAAAAATGTGTTGTCTTTAGAAAAAGCACCAAGATTAGTCTCAAACTCCTTCCACAGTGCAAGCATCTGCTGCCTTCAAACAAGCCACTAAAATACAGTATAAATCTTTGCTCTCGCAGTAGCATTGACAGATGCTTTAAAGTAAGTTTCAAGTAGAAAAGAGAAATTAAGAGAATTACATGCAAAGTTTATCCATGTATTTATTACATTAAAAATAATAAAGAGGGAAAAGGTTGTACTGGAACATTAGGGCTTACAATCAAATCATAGTATTCACTTACACAATTAAAAGCAAATTCCCGGCTATCAAATAGGTATGACTGTCATTTACCTCCTGACACACATCTCCTGGCTATCTCCCAAAGGATGAGTCCAAAGCTGTACATATCAGCCATGATATACGACTGAAAGTGATTTCTGTTCAAGCTTTCATCCAGCACCTCAGGAGGCATATAGCGTTTTGTTCCCACGCGGGTGTTTGGAGGGATGTCTACCTCATTTGTATCACTAAAATAAAGAGAAGTAAAAAAAAGGCATCAAATATGCTATAAAAGTAGATTGAAAAGAAAGTAACTGAGAAGGGAGAAGTATTAAATTCAGACCACATCCACTCTCAAACAAGGTCAAAAGTAGTGCATAATCTTAATGGAACAAATCTTACAAAGAAAGCCTCTTAGTGTGAACACAACTCTTCCTAAAAGGCTGACTTGCCTCAGGCAGTATTAAGCATCCAAATGAGAACCACAATGGAGATAAGACTCAACAGGGATGCTGTAACATTTGTGAAATTTCATTAGCATTAGACTGAACTCTAATGCTGGTGATAACAATCAAATCTTCATTAAATGCTATTTTCTTAACATACTCCACCACATAATGCTTTAGTCTTAGTAATTATTGGAGGACACTAAATAGCTCCAGCAGTATCATTTAGATATAGAAAATCAGGTCTGCAATGAAGAAGAGTCTATGTTTTGCGCACGCATTATGTTTGATCTCTCTCTGCTCTACACATCACAGAGTACAAACACACAGATGGAAATGTGTAAAAAAATCTAACCAAAGGCGTCACTTCTCACACACCGACCAGAAGAGACAATGTGTTTCTAACAGGAAGCAAACACTCAGTAAATGTGTGACTGGATTTTTTTTTTCTCATTATTACTTAAGATTTCACTGTAGCAATTTTAAAGTGTTCAAAAGTTTAGTGTCAGGCATACACTGAGGCTTATTTAGAAAGGTCTGTTTCGATTTCCTCACCTTCCAAATCTGAATCTTTTAAATGTGACCGATACAACAAAATCTCAGAGAATTATCACACAACTGTAATTTTCTTCACCTACAAGTATGAAAATGACACATAAAAGCCAGATCTCAGATACAACCAGTCACGCAGTCATTAAATCATACATATGGTGGTTGCATTTGTGTATCCCTCCAAGAACTAACATAAATCTAGTGACCTGTGCTATCTCACCAGATTTTGAATAAAATGAGAAAAGCAAAAAGCTTTACTGAACTCATTATGCTCAATGCGATACATCCCATTCAACCACTTTTTTTCTGGTTCTTGCCTGGGAAATGCTAAGGAAGGATTCTTTATGCAAGCTATGCAAAAACAAGCTATGCAAAGTAAATTCCATTCAGATAATGAGTTACATAGCTTGCCTTGGTCTTTCCCAGTTCCCATTTTAGACCTAAGCAGTATGCTACCCTGTATCTGTCAGTTAAAGTATGCCTACAAAGGATGAATTTCTTCCCTGAAACTTTTACAGTGAACAGGGTATTTCCTTACTTACTGTTTTGCAGGCCCCTGCTCCCCAATGTAAAATTGTTCATTTCTCATCTCCTACAGAAATGTCAGCTTCATAAAGGAAAGACCTCATCAAGAAAGCTGGCATATAAGTTGCTAGTGAGAAGGGCACATTAAACTATCTTCTCTTACATTCTGAATAATTTCAAGATCTGTAGAGATTTTTTTATACATACATACTTAAGGGAGCCCACAGTTTCAAAGCTGACCTCTGAAATGGAAACCTTCAGTCTATGGCCACATTTCTGTGCTTGGAAAAATCAGAGCATTCGTAACACACATCTCCATTGGGACCAGCACTGAGCTCAGGCTCTTTGTGAGCAGAGCAAGCAGCTGTCAGAGAGAAATGACTTCTTTATGAATCCCTGGAGCAAGCAAGTCCTACTTGTCTGCTCCTTCTAAGTTGTTTAAACACATAACCATTTTTAAAAATCAAATTTAAAAGCCATTTCAAAAATCAAATCTGTACTTTAGCAATTTGATTTGTTGGAAATGAAACAAAACACAGCCCAAATGGGGTGCTTTTCAATAAATCCCAATTAGCAACATGTGCAAATGATTAGTATTATTCTAGATATAAGTTATCTATGAATTGTTTAGTTATCAGACAAGCTGATAGCTTCAGTGACAAGTTTGCTGATGTGAATTCAATCTGCCTGTGCAAAGTCCTTTTAACAAAGGCAGTTAAAATACGCCAGGTTGATAGTGAGCATTCAGAGATGAAAACTGAATGTTTACACAAATGCAATGGATGTGCACAATTACTGGAAAGCAATTGCTTCTACACCTGGGGTATGTGTTTTTGCAACATTCACCCAGACAGCTGCAGTTCACGTATGGGTGAGCACTGCATGGAAGTGATGCACACAAGACACAGGTGCTAGCTCCCACATGCAAACTCATGCATACAACACAACCAGCATGTGGCTCTTACCCAACTTTCCCTCACCATGCTTAGCTCTACTCACCTAATAAATTTAACAGCCAAGCCCAAATCTGCTATACAGCAGGTTCCATTCTTTTTCACCAGGATGTTCTTACTTTTTAGATCACGGTGGGCAATAGCTGGTTTGCCTTGGGTACTGAAGATCTCCGTATGTAGGTGGCACAAGCCACTAACAGAGGAGTAAGCCAGTTTTAGCATGCCTTTTGTGTCCAGGGTGGTTGATTTTAGATAATCATAAAGGGAGCCATTCTCATGATAGTCAGTGATCAGATACAGTTGGGTCCAAGAGCCTGTGCCTTTAATGTCTGCTGCAATGAATCCTGAAAAAAGCAATAGCAAGTTAATTCTTCTCAAGGCATTTTTGACTGCTCAGGAGTCTGAACTGTCAACCACTTCCATAGTTTTTATTTTAACAACACACTCATTTTCTTTTACGTTACATACATGCAGCTATGCCTCACCTTTAGCTCTTTACACATTTTCAGAAAGCCTAGATACTCAAACACAGGTGGCAGAGCCAGATGTCTGATTTTTCGAGCAATAGCCATGTCCCCATATTATTTTTTACCTGCACAGTAATACTTCAAGCTTTTTTCTTTTCAAAAGTGCAGGGTGACTAACTGCAGAGCACAGCAGGTAACAAAGCACATAAGAAAGGGCATCAGACAATGACAAATATACAGTAATTAAATTTAAGAAAGCCATCACTATCAAATGATGATCTTTAATTTCACTCACCGAGAATATTTTCATGCCTCATCAGGACAGTTTGGTAGATTTCTGTTTCTCTGAACCAGCTGGCCTCTTCTGTGGTAAAAAACACTTTGACAGCTACCTTTTCGCCACGCCACTTTCCCATCCAGACTTCCCCATAGCGACCTTTTCCAATCTGTTTTACCATCTGAATCTGTTTTGCTATGGTCCTCTGAACCTGTAAAATGCCAAGACTCGCAATGAGAATGCGTTCTGCAGAAATTTTCTGCCTTCATCTCAGTCCTTCTTTTTTCTCTGAACAGCAGAATACGCAGCAGTTGCAAAACAGATTTCAACAAAATTTTGCCATATGGATGCTCCTTATCTCTCCCCAAGAGACAGCACTAGTGAGGCCATTCCTGTCCCTGAGAAGAAACCTTCCTATCTCATTTCCAAAGGCTTACCTACTCAACACCTTTGAGACAGACTCAAGATCACTGAAATTACTGTGAACAGCTTCCTATGACCTTCCTTGAAAATCCTATGACTAATAATTTCAAAATATTAATTTGTTATTTGGAGCCTTAACCATTACTTACCCAGTTACAACCCAAGTGCCTGCATTCATTTTACTGGGAACTGATGTAAAAATGAAAGCATTTGTCCAGCTCTAGCAGAAGGTCAATGCATTTATTTAGCAGCTTTGTAGAGGTATACATCACATATTGACAGACTATGCATAGTAGATGGGCTGATTCTACATTTAATGAACATTTATGATGACAAAAAGTCTTGGACAAATTGAAAATAACATAGAATTGCAGCATGTCTGAAGATGATGTATTTCTGCAAGCTCATAGAAGAAAACTTAAATAGATATTGCAACACGACCCACTGGTGTTCATGGTTCACTCAGCCTCTCCTTAATGTAACAGGACATTAAGATGTCACCACTGTTAACAATTTTTGGTTTTGTAGGATTTTACAAGATTTTGCAATTTCATTTTATTCTAGGGCTTTTCATCTGGCCCACACTATGGGTAAAATCTGGATAAGAGTCATGTTGAGGTCTCTAGGTTTTGCCACCACCCAGACACAATTCCTGAGCAGCTTAATGCAACAAGTCTGAATCTCTATGAAATCATAATCTTAAGAATTTCTGCAACCCTGGCTAACAAAAATGATCAAACTCTGATTTTAAAATCATGCTTCCTTTGCTATCCCTGGAGTGACCATTGAAACTGTCAATCTGGTAATGCAGAGCAGGACTGCCACAATCCTTCTGAAGTATGACTGCATGTCACGAGATGAATTTCAAAAGCTAGTAAGTAAGGTCTATAGCCATTTGTTTCGTAAATAAATTACTGTTTTTCATGTTGGAGAATTCAAAGAAGAAAAATTCAAAGAATGACATTTATGTAAAGCTATTTCAAAAGTTCCAGCTTTCTTCTGTTTCAATTTACATACAATCCCATTTTTTCAGCCCTGCAACGTTTAACTAGGGTTCCAAGATGGCTGCAATGCCATTCTTTTTTATTAACATCAGTGATAGCCAAAAACAGATCAGACTGAATTTTTAAAATTGATTCATTCTCCTTTATACTCCTATATAGTGATTGAACAATAGTTACATTACATTGGAATTTTGCTTTAACATTTTGTAATGTCATTTTAGCATTGTTGCTTTCTATTCCGCCCATTTTAAAAATGCATCCTGAACAATAATGCTGTTATACCAAATAACTCAATTTGTGCAAATATATGTAATGGCATCATAAAGTACATGAAATTACAATACTTAATGATGAAAAGTTCCTTATTATATTACATTAAGAAAACGAAAAACACATCTCTGTTATGGGTTTTCAGGCAGCAGAATACTATGTGAGGGCCTTAACTTGGTTTGCTTTTGCTAGAACTAGTCAGAGATTTACAGTGAACAATTTATATTATTTTAAGGAATTTAGCCCTTTCTTGAATCTGATTATAATTTTTAGAACAAAGCAGTTAATCAAAAAATGCTAGATGAACTAATTCTGTAAGTATGCTGAATGATGTATCCATGCTAATTGTTTAGTGATTTTCTTTACTTATTTCTAGATTTTGTTTTGCTACTTGAGTTGTGTGACCAACCAGGTCCCCATGTCCCATTGTTTCCTTTCCTTGACTGCAATCAATCCAACCGCCAACTATTTCTAACTCCTGCATTCTGCTTTTCTGATCTTCAGTTAAATGTCTCCATCTAATGCAAACTAAAATTCAGACAAGCAAATTTTTTGTAATTTCAACATTTTGAACAGAGGCCTTATTCCTAAGGCTGGGGTGCAGTCTATTGAAAAGCAAAATTCATTGGAAGAGAAATTAGAAAAAAAACATACACGAAAAGGCAGAGAAGGAACTCTGATTTCTCTGTCATTTATGTACTCAGCATTTTACCTCCTTCCCTGATTTTGAACATGGGTACACTGAGGCATTAGCTTTGCATAAACATCTTGTGTTGGGCAGTGGGGTTCTGCTTGCTCATGCAGACTTGATTGTACCTGAGCTTATTGGCTCAAAGCTTTTTAGTTACAATTTGCTGTAATTTTTTTTTTGGTTTAAAACTTGATTGGCAGCATTCGACCTGCAGTAAACTTTTCTGTCAAACAGCCCACAAAAAGAATGTTTGCTGAGTGTCAAAATCTAGATAAAATCTTGGTTAATGCTTATTTTTGGTGTAATACCTGTACTCATTGGAATAAATTTTCTGCATAGGAGGAAGACAATACTGTTTATCATAAACTTACATTTTGAAATAAATGTGTGGGTTATGTTCCTGAAATAATAGCTTTGGAAGTTTCATTCCTTGAATAAAAAATAAAGCAGTTGAAAACAAATTCTTCCGCAATATAGTCTACAGCATTATTGCTAGGTGCTTCCTATATGTTTCTTTCAGGCATGGGCCCAGAGGTACTAAGCTGTGTACTTCCAGTGAGCATGTAGTGGTTGTAGCTGTCTGAGAAGCACAACAAACATTTATTATTATGGGCAAGTTTCACTGTAGCTCTCATTTTTCTTCTCTTCCAAAGAAAATGACTATTTAAAGGGAAAGTCAAAGAAAAATGCATGTTTTCATAGGCAAAGAGAGAGCTAGAGACAGCAGTAAGACCACAGATCCCACCTTCAACCAGCTGAGGCTCATCGAGATGGAAGAAAGTATAAAGCACAAACTTTTGTCATGTTGTCATGTTTTTTTTCCAGCTTTCTTGTCACAACCTCGATATTTAATACTAGACCAGGCTGTTCAGGGTCCTCTACAACCTGGCTTTGAACACCTCCAGAGACAGGGCATCCACAACCAAACTGAGGCCAAACTGACTCCACTTTTAGCCAGCCACTCAATCTGTTGCCTCATTTCAAGGAAATAAAGTTTTCCATTTATTTTTCTCTTTTAGGTTTAGAAAACAAGATGTGAGGGCAAAAAAAACAATAGACAGTACTTGGAATTTGGGCAACATCACCAGTAATAGGACCACTACAAACTAATCAGTTTGGAAGAGTATAGAGACATACAATTTCTGAAAAAAAGAAACTGAAATCTAATTTGTGCCGTTCTTTCAGTGCTAAAAAGCAACAATAGCCCTTGAGAAAACAAACTGCTGAACAGAATTGTTTTCCTGCAGAAAGTAAATCCATTGCCTTTTTGGCATGTGAGCTGAGGGGGTTCAGACATCCTGCAGTCAGTTCAGAAATAATGGTAAAGCTCACTCCATTCCCATGCCTTTAACCTTTGAGATTACCTCAGTACAAGGTAAAATAATTCATTCTTGACTTCTGAATGCAAAGTGAAGTCTGCACATAAAAAGGTTCCACATTCAATGAATTGCAATTTCTTTCACATAAAGCCTACATGTCAGTGTTGGAAAAGCTATTGTGTGTTGCATGTAAAAAGTGAGAAAATAAGACTGCAGGCTAAATGCTGTCATTTGCACTGGGGTAAATCCTGATAAATTTCTGTGGTCTCTGTTGGTCTCTATTTACCCTGTGGTATTCTAAGTTAAGAGAGGAATTAAAAAGAAAACAAAACAGAACAAGTAGTATTTTTGGCTGAGCATACATGAGGAGAAAAAAAAATTCTCCTGATTCTAACGCAGTTGTTCGTCAGCTTAAATCCTTGACAATTCTAGGAGAAAATAAAATATAAAAATAAATGAAAGACAAACCTTAAAGACACAGCGCCTCCTTTCAAACATTAAAAAAAATACATTTCTTGCGCATCATTTTGTTTTCTCTCTTCACTCCTTTTTCCCTGTGAACTGACATTCAGATAATGCTGCTTCCTTACCAGGAGAGGGAGCCCGGAGCCGCTGCCGGAGCTCTGGGACTGCTCAATCAGATCCTTCAGGGACTCTCCAGGGGGAATGTAGGTCTCATCCTGCTCCAGTCCAATGCTGTAGCGGGGCCTGGCCTCTTGCCGCTTATACCTGCCATTGGTACACCAAAGTTAGCTTCCAACATAATGAGCACGGGTACAAAGGGTAAAGAACCTTATCCTCCACACGTGTGTCATATATAGACACACGGCTTCCTCAGCTTCTCTGACCAATATTTTCAGTTTTATTTCTAACAAATCGTTTTCAGCATCAAACCTCTATGTAATAAAACTCAAAGACTGTGCAGCATGCTATGAGCTTGCAAAGCTAAGAGATGCTTTTCTTTCAGAACTTTAAAGCACAGACAAAATAAATGCGAAATTTTGTTTACCAACTGCAGTGGGTCTTTTAAAAGTAAAAGGAAGAACAATCGTGGGACTTGGGAGTATTTAAAAAACACAAAGAATTATTTAAACGTATGTAGATTATGATGATATTCTAGACATGCTTAACATTTCAGTATTCTCCTCTTTTTTAATATCCTCACCACATAAACTCACTGAGAAGCCTCAGTTTTTTTGTTCTGTATAAACTTTGTACTGTGGCATTCTCAGCTTCACTAAAGAGCAGTCTGTGCTTCAAACTGGAAAGCTTCTTATGATCCTGGGTGAAAGATTATACATGGAATACAACACTGAGATATGCCTGTGAATAACATGAACAAAGTACAGATTCCTTTCACATGATAAAATTACATCATTTTTCTTTTTTTTTTTCCCAAGAGGCCAATCTTAAATTTTCAAAATTTTGAGTCCACAAAAAAACAGAAGTTGGGAAGAATGCTAATGAGGTGATAAAATGTTCCTTATTTACCTGAAGTAGCAGAATATGATGATAAGCACCAGAAGTATACTACAGACAGTCACTGAGATCAGCAGGGCCTTATGGTGAATGTTTCCTTCAGCAAAATCTGGAGATAAAACAGAGCAGCAGGAGGAAAAAAGTGAGAAAATTTGGAAAGGGAGATGGTACAAAGTCAGTGTGAAAAAATGCACACCAAGCATAAGGTTGTTGAAGCTGTGGATGCCCCATCCTCGGAGGTGTTCAAAACCAGGCTAGAACAGGTCTGACCCTGCCCATGGCAGGGGGGTTGGAGATAGATGGTCTTTAAGGCCTCTTCCAATCCAAATAATTCTGTGGTTCTAATTCTGTGATTCTACTACAACTCTGTACACAATGCCTCCGGGCTTTACTGGTGTTTTGTGCATGTCCTCATTGTGCCTCACCCAGCAGGGCAGCCCACAGGAGCCCATGTGCTGATGTATACCTACTCTGTCAAAGCATGGATTTGCAAGTCCCCGTTTGACTCTGAATGAAATCAATTAGAAAAATCAAACCAGGACTCATTGTTTTGTGTCTTAACATATGTGATCAGCAAGGACATGCAAAGATCTTAAATCCATATCTTAAACCACTGGCATCTGATTGAACAGTTAACATAACAAATAAACAATTGTGTTTATCCTAGTAGGGAAACAGAGGAGACCACCCAACCCCTGAGAAGGCAAACTGCTGAAGACTTTGTAGGCATATTTCCAGTACTGAAGAATACTCCCCCTCTCTGATCCTGTTTTAACATTTAAGCGGGCATTTTTTTCCTCATTCATTCCATAGCAGACCTATGTGCCAGAAAAAGCCATGCTGAGGGGTGAAACCATCCTTGCAGCATTTATTCTGTAAAACACTTTGAAGATGAACCATGTCAAATAACTCGAGGAAACACCACAGCATGAAAACTACTAAGATATTTCAGTCTGTCTTTGAATGGAAGACTAATATTGTGCTTTAAAGTGCATCGCTAATCCCTAAATTTGTATTCTTGACTCAGGTAAGTGATACTGACCTTCATCCATGCTTCCCTGCTGTAAACCAAAGATATTTGGCACTGCTTTTCCTTTAAACATCCCAGTCTCAAAATTACACATCAGCATGTACACACACAAACCATCCTCCTGAAGTTGCTATCTAGACTACTGCAAATGAGGATAACAGCTCCTGAAGCTCTCCCAGCCCTGCCACCTTGCATCTTTCACACTAATACCGAACACATCATAAAATGCAAGAACTCTATCCTCATTGACTCATTCTGGAATAGTGCTACTACGTTTCAGATTTACAAGGGTAATGAGACAAAGAGATTCCTAAGGGACTCTTGGCTTACTGTCAGGTTCTTTTAGATTAAAGATCAAATTTATCCCTCTGTTTTTGTGCCCAAACGATTCCTTCCCTTTCCTTCTTCACTACAAACAGAGATTACCTCCCAGTGCACCTTTTGAACATGCTGGTCATGTTTTAATCTGCCATTACCTGCACCCAGAGCATTAGCAATGTAAACATTCAAGCTACAGCCAGTGCTTTTGAAAGGGGATACTAACATGATGTCTATCAGGAAAACACCAGAGCCCATCATTCCCACTGAAGTGGCAGATTTTTACCTGGCCTGGAGCTGAAAATGAGAGCCCACTGGGGGAACCTAGTTCTCTCCTGTGACGATGAGGGCTGCTGAGGAGGTCCGAAGACTCTATTTCATGCTCCATAGGCAGTCTGGGTCTGCCAACAACTTCCCTCTAAAATATGTGGTTTGTAACAGTTGAAGATGTTGCAGTGCATCAGCTGAGGAGAGGATAAATAGTGGCCTGCACAGAAGTCTGTAGTACTAGTCTTGCACTAAAAGAACTTGAGATGTGCCAGTGTCATTTACACTAACTATGTGGATTTGATTATGTACATCTGGGAGAAGGATGATAAAATGACAGATCTTAATTGTATTGTGATCATTTTAAATGATTCAAACACTGAGCCCAACATTGCTAATGGGCTTCTCCCATTCAGACAATTGAACAAACATGCCTGTATTTTCCTCAAGGCATCCTGGAAGTGTTGCTCAGCTTTAATGCAATCTTGAGACTTTTTCAGAATTTTTCAGTAAGTACAAGGAAAGCATGCAAGACACGAAGGGATGTGTCAGTGTGGCAGTAGGTGACAGCTCCCTGCGCATATCACAGTGGGCATGCAACCAGATCTCATGGAAAAGGTGAATGACTTCCATATGTCTTCATATTTATTTGGCCACATAGGAAGAGAGGCTACAGAAATGCTAAATCAGACATTGTTTTGTCTTTCAAACACTTTCTATTGGCAAAATTCTGCTTGCTCTGCTTGTGCGCTTGAAGATTTCATAAACCACTTGGTACATGGACAACAAAATATAAAAAAAACTGCCTCTCTTCTTCCATGTGTAATGTCTGTTTGTCATAGAATCATAGAATGGCCTGGGTTGAAAAGGAGACCACAGTGGTCATCCAGTTTCAACCCCCCTGCTGCATACAGGGTCACCAACCACCAGACCAGGCTGCCCAGAACCACATCCAACCTGGCCTTGAATGCCTCCAGGGATGGAGCATCCACAACCTCCTTGGGCAACCTGCTCCAGTGCATCACAACCCTCTGTGTGAAGAACTTCCTCTTAATATCTAACCTAAATCTCCCCTGTCTCAGTTTAAAACCATTCCCCCTTGTCCTATCACTATCCACTCTCATAAACAGCCATTCCCCCTCCTGTTTATATGCTCCTTTCAAGTACTGGAAGGCCACAATGAAGTTTCCCCAGAGCCTTCTCTTCCCCAAGTTAAACAAGCCCAGTTCCCTCAATCTTTCTTCATAGAAAGACTGCAGCCCTCTGATCATCTTAGTGGCCCTCCTATGGACCCACTCCAAGAGCTCCACATCCTTCCTGTAGTGGGGGCCCCAGGCCTGGATGCAGTACTGCAGATGGGGTCTCACCAGAGCCAGATAGAGGGGGACAATCACCTCCATCTCCCTGCTGGCCACACCTTTTTTAATGCAGCCCAAAACACAGCCTTCTGGGCTGCATGAGCACACTGCTGGCTCATGTCCAGCTTCTCATCTACCAGGATTCCCAAGCCCTCCGCAGGACTGTTCTCCAGGAAATCTTCCCCCAGTTTCTATAAATACCTGGGATTGCCCCAACCCAAGTGCAGCACTCTGCACTTGGCTTTATTGAACCTCATTAGATTTTCATAGGCTCACTTCTCCAGCCTGTCCAGGTCCCTCTGGATGGCTTCCCTTCCTTCCAATATATCAACTGCACCGCTCAGCTTGGTATCATCCACAAACTTGCTGAGGGTGCATTCGATGCCATCTTCTATGTCATTAATGAGGATGCTGAAGAACACCCACCCCAAGATCGACCCTTGAGAAGGAACACTGAATCACTGATCACAACCCTTTGGCTGTCCAGCCAGTCAATTCCTAATCCATCAAACAGTCCATCCTTCAAATCCGCACCTCTCCAATTTAGAGAGACAGATGTGGAGAGGGACCATGTCAAAGGCCTTGCGAAGTCCAGGTAGATTACATCCATCGCCCTCAACAACATAGTGAACACAGCTTCCCATGTGAGCTGTCTGCTAGAGTTATAGGTACAGGAGGCTGCTGAACTGAGGCAAGCTAGTGCTGCTGGAGACTCACTCCTCTCTCCTTCTTCAGATGAGGATGCTCCCCACAATGCAGAAGGATAAAACTGCTCTTCCTGCACCATTTCAGGCAGCTGAGACCACCTCCAAAGAGAGGGACAGGACAGGACTTAGCCATAGTCCACTTTGTCTCTGCAGTGGTACCAGTAATTGTGAGATGGTGAAGCTCTGCTCTTTAAGACTGGTGCTGTGCTGCTTACTGCTTGTTCCTTGGCAACTGCAACATGCTAAGCAGTGAGGTTATGAGAATAAGCAGCAGCTTCCAAGGAGGCAGCAGTGAGCTATGACTGTGAGCTCAATGAGGGGAACACAAAACAAACAGATAGGAAGTTTAGGAGGCTTCCTCAGGTACCTTGGCTCACACATAATACCAAAGACTATCACAGAGCATGTTTACAAACAATTTTAGGTTGTAACAAAACATGGATGTGTGCAGGTGTCAGATATGGTCAGCACAGAAAGGGAGAAGTGGCAACAAAAGCAGGATCTCGTTACACCAGCCTGCCTCTCAGTTACTCTTCTGTGCTTTCTCCCTTCTCCCCCTCCCATTCACCCCACTTTGCCATGTGCAGCGTCACGCTGATGAGTGCACTGCAAATGCCACACAGCAGGTTGAAGGGAGAAGTCAGGGTGTCAAAGGCTCTCCTCCCTCCCTATTTCGTCCAGTTCACAATGTTAAGATTATCCAAGTAAAAATGGCAGTGAAATCCGAGGCGTGGAGACTGTGTGCACGCATCAAACCCCATCGTTCCTCCAATCATTCCCTTGCCCATTCATCACTAGCTCTACAGGCAGGGAGCCAGACACGGTGGCACCACCACTTCTGCTTATACAGGCTTTAAATCAGTAAAGATATATTTCTCCTTTCGACTGATCTCAGTCTGCACTTTCACAGGGATTTCCAGGAATATCTTTTATTGTTTAAAGCAGAGGTGTTGTTTCAAACCCAGTTATGATTTTCATTTCCTCAGTAAGATAAATACATAGGTGGTACAAGGATTTTGTGGTATCATCTGGCTATTTTAACTTGCCAGGTTTGTAACAAGATGAGCTCAAAACTTAAGCTTGGCTCTTACTTTCTTACATCTTGTTCAAGAAAACCCTGCTTTGTCCAATGCTAACACTTTGAGCTCCCACCCTCATGTGCACGGCTCTCCTATCTTCTCACAAGGAGAGGGTAAAACTGTCCTTCAGCACATGCCAGGTCTGGAAAAACACTTCCAGGACACAAGCCGCTTGCCTCTCTAGAGATGTTACCTTGGTGTGCGGGTTAATTTGCAGTTCAACAACCTCTGACCTGCAGCTGGACAACCTCCCTAGGCTCTGTTTCCCATGAGATATGACCTTGGATGTAAGTTCAGAAGCCAAATTTCTGTTTGTTTTTTAAATGCCAAGTAGCACACATATTTTTCGTGGTATCCTGGAGGTCAGGAAGCTTCCTAGAAACTTGTTTTTAGGTTAATCTTCCTTTTGTCATACTTCCAGCTTATGAGAAATGTAATGTACAAGTCTCACAGCTCTCATTCACATAACCAAGTCTAAAAGTTTCCAACAGACACAATGATCACAATGCACAGTACTGAACACTGGCAATAGTGGGCACTCAGTATTTGTACACAGCTGCACGGAGAATCCCCTAAGTCCAGGCTTTGTTCCGAGCTCTTAAACTAGCATACAGCCATGGCACATAAGAACAGATCTGGCACCAGGAATGACATATGTGCTTAAGGCTTCAATAAAGGTGCTGGCTTCAGCCCTGCTCAGCCACATGGAAAGAAACAGCTTCTGGAATACACTGTCAGGACACTGGCAGTGCACAAACTTAGTTAAAACAAAAATCCTCAGAATACACTGAATGATGCATTGTTTTCTGTTTGTCAGTATAAAATAGACATTTTGCAATATAAAATGGCTAGAGTCCTGCTCCAACTCTATAACATTATTCTTTCATCAAAAAAAATCTATCTGCTGTTTAATGGGTCTGCCACCACAAGTGCCCAAGCGATACTTTTTTTTAAACCCATGTACACACACAGCAAAGTCAACATTGATCCAAACAATTTTTGCCACCATAAAAATCTTGTTGTACTGTTTTCTGTATAAGTAGCAGATAGTACAGCCAAATATCCAAAAACTTAATAAGGCAGATGCCTAATGTTTGGCATTGATTCAGCACTTTTAAGTAGATTTAACATAGAATTAACTCAGCAGAGAGAAGAAATAATCTTCCAAACTGTAATGATATTTATTGATACGCTAAGTAAGTGTGAACAAATATTGACTTCCTTTTGGAGTTTCTCCCTCAGTTCAAATAACTTTTTAAAATGAAAAAAATACACAACAAAATAGTACATAACTCTCATGTTGGAAGTTGGAATTTTATGAGGTTTCACTGACTTAATGACTTGCTAGTAAATAGTGAAATATTTACACACCACCCTCCACAGGCCTGGCGCTGCAACCCATCTGTGCAGAGTTTCATAGGTGTGAAGGGAATATCTTACATGAGAGAAGGCTTTCTATGAACATATATTTATGTGTAAGTAGCTGCTGTTTGTCAGTTTGGGTTTCCAACTCAGAATGCCATGATTACAAATTCTCCTGCAACCCTGAATATACTCTCACAGACTAAATTCCATGCCGACCTCCACAGATCTTGGCCATTGTTGATGATGCCAAGAGTTTATGAAGGAAGAATGTTACACTGATCCCAGGAACACATTCTTTAAAAATGGAATCTGCCATATCAAGCCAAAGTAGTTTTAATAATTTTCAGAAAGCAATGTTTAAACAAAACAAACACACCTAAATCTGACCTACTCTTGCCTCAGAATCTACTTAAAAGTTAAAACACTTCCATTTGTTCTTAATAGCAGCACACACCAACAAAATAATAGTAATTGTGCAAGTTTTCACTTTTCATTCTATTTTGAGTTACATTTTTCAAGTAGAAAATCCACTTCAGTGGATTACTGGGTTCTATAAGTAAGAAACGCTTTATGGATTTCAGTCAGTTTGAAATGCTAGATTAACCTCTAGAGATCTGGTCCCAGATATATGCGCTGTTATGAACAGATATAGGATTCAATTTTATTATCACGAAAAACTATACACAGCAAGAGCCATCCCCTGCCACATGCAACTTCAATCTTTGGGATGACCACTAACAGCCAGCAAATCTATGACAATATCGAGCAAATGATTCATCCGGTGCTCACTGCACGTGAGCAACACAAATAACAGCAGGAACCTGCAACCATGGGTCAAGACACTGCTCTCTACTTCAATAAATCCAGACAGTTTTTAGTAGGACTCATCTCTCTGATCATGTACACTTGGATGTGGGTGCATTGGTTATGGCTTTGTTTCTTCCTGAGACACAAAGGGCAATAGCAGAAAAAGGTCAGTTTGAGCCTGGATAGACTTCCCTTTACCTCGATTTTTCAGTGGAGGCAGTGTCGGGTGAAGATGTTTGTTACAGTAATCTTGGCCTGTGCAACATTCAATAGATCTTCTTTGGTGTGGAATAGGAGTGTCCTGGAATAATTTCAGAGAAAGCAAAGTAATTAACTGAAAGCCATCAAAATTCAAGCAATACTCAGGCAGCCAACACTTTCTTACCCGACACTGGAAGTCCGAGCCTTCTAATCCTAGACATCCTTTGGTGACCAAATGTCCACCAGAATCATCTTCTTCTATTATGGTGAAGCAGTAGCCATCAGTGCTGAGGATTGAAAAGAATGAATCAGTACAAGGTTCTGAAGTGAAAAACATGGTGTTAAATACAGTCTTCAGCATTATTCATTGGAAGGAAAATCTTCCATTACCGAAGCAACATATTTCCTCCAGCAGCATGACAAAACACAAAGGGCTGAAGCACTATTGCACGTGTGGAAAGTCAGGCACACATGCAATCTGCTGCAACAGAACAAGACAGCTGACAGTATGACATACTCACCTACCCAAAATTTCACAGCTACAAAGCTCACTAACATCTTAATTCTCTGTAAATTCCTGCAGCCATTAATGTGTGAAGGCTTTGGAAAACTACATAAATGCAAACAGCAATGCTACAGCAGGTCTGCCCTGTGCATGGGAACAAGGCATGGCTACACACACCATGGTGGGAATATGGAAAAAGAAACACTCTTGAGATCCTTGCTGTGAAATCTTATTAAGAGAGATTTGTGATTCCTGTTTTAGATGTATTACAAACTGTGGCACTGGTGTGTGAGTCCTTGAGTTATCATCAACACTCTTCATAACTGTTTACTTGGGTTACAAACCTGAAATTATCCAAAACACTCCCATTCACACAACCGTGTCCCATGGAAGATAAGCATAATAACAGATGGCTAGATGGTGCTGGTGATAAATGTCCTTCTTTGATGAAGGTCAAATGCCTGCATGCTGCAGAAAGGGGGGGGAAGGTACAAAAGGGGGACTTCATTTTACTGAGATTGCCATGCATTAATTTCTAATTACTGTTGGCGAGCATGTAACATAAGTGAGGAACACAAGTTGACTGATTTGGAGGAAAAAGATCAAGAAATAAAGAATTATTTAATCCAATACATTTACTTCACAAAAAATATTCCTTTATTTTCATGGGAAACTAGCATTGGTTATTACGTTCAGCAAGTATTTTTCTGAGGAGAATAAACTCAGTTAAAACAAGGAAATAGAAAAAAGGATTAGAAAATTTAAGCACCACAAAATTTCAGATCATTTGCTCCCAGTGGAAGGAAAGGAAGTCTAATAGAGCAGCAAGAGAAAAGAAAATGAGATGTAGGATTCAAAGAGTGCTGTTACACATGGAATAGATAAACACCATTTGTAAGTATTAGCTACAGGACAGACAGATGCTGGCTAGAAAAGAGTCATGTCAAACATTTGCAGTAGCATATTTTTATATTAGTGGTGCAGAGTCTAGCCACTGTAAACTTATTACTTCAAATAATAATCTATCACTCGTTATTGACTTCTGGATTTGAAAAGTAACCAATTGTATGTTACAAATTGCTTTCTCAGAGAAAAGAGAGCTAGGGGTTCTACTCCCCTCTGACACTGTGCATACAAGCAAGGCAAGGGAGACAGCTGCGCTTCTCGGCAACAACCACCTTGATTTCATTGCCGAAGCTTAAGATAGGAGCGATAGGATTGCCAAGAAGAGAGACTGTAAGGAATCCATTAGAGTAGAATATTATATTAGATTAGATTTTATTTGTTTGCATGGTGCCTTTGATTCAAAGTAATGAGTAAGTGTAACCCAGGGGACAGAGCAACAAAACAATAAATTGCAATCTAGTGAAACACAAAAAAGAACTCCTCAGCTAGCAATCCACAGCAAAAATCAAAACTCTCTGTTCACCGAAGGACAGGGGCGGAAGGAAAAGCCAAATTGTTTGCAGAAGGAAAAAAAGAAGCAGGAAAAGTCACAATTTTATTTCATTTCTTCTGACTTGTCGTGGGACTCTGATACTTTGCTCATTTTAGAAAATTGAATTTGGGATCCTCAAGTACTTCAGTCCCTCTGAAAATTTTCACAGAATCACAGAATGGCCAGGGTTGGAAGGGACCTCAAGGATCATGAGTCTCCAACCGCCCTGCCACATGCAGGGCCACCAACCTCCACATTTAATACTAGACAAGGCTGCCTTGGGGCCCATCCTGGCCTTGAATACCTCCAGGGACGGGGCATCCACAACCTCTCTGGGCAGCCGTTCCAATACCTCACCACTCTCTCTGTAAAGAACTTCCCCCTGACATCCAACCTAAATCTTCCCTCCCTCAACTTAAAACCATTTCCTTTTGTTCTGCAGTTATCTACTCTTTCAAAGAGTTGACTCCCGTACTGTTTGTAGGCTCCCTTTAGGTACTGAAAGGCTGCAATGAGGTCACCCCGCAGCCTTCTTTTCTCCAGGGTGAACAAGCCCAGCTCCCTCAGCCTGTCCTCATAGGGGAGGTGCTCCAGTCCCCTGGTCATCCTAGTGGTCCTCCTCTGGACCCTCTCCAACAGCTCCCTGTCTTTTTTGTACTAGGGGCTCCACACTTGAACAGTATTCCAGATGGGGCCTCACAAGAACAGAGTAGAGGGAGACAATCACCTCCCTGTCCCTGCTGGCCACCCTTCTTTTGATGGAGCCCAGGATACCATTTGCCTTCTGAGCCGCAAGGTCACACTGCTGGCTCATGTTAAATTTTTCATCTATTAAGACCCTCTAGATCCTCCTCCACAGGGCTGCTCTCAAGGACCGCTCCTTCCAGTCTGTACAGATGCCTGGAATTCCTCTGGCGCAAGTGCAAAACTCTGCACTTTGCCGTGTTGAACCTCATCAGTTTCACCCGGGCCCACCTTTCTAGCATCTTGAAGTCCCTCTGAATGGCATCCATTCCTTCCACTGTGTCATTTTACTTCAGATTTAAAAAGACAAACAATATTACACTAAATAGAGCAAAACATAAAAGTTATAAAGCTCCAACAATAAGGGTAAATCATGTTCTTTACAGGCAACAATAGAGTAAGGAGGGAAACATATGAGAAAACTAAAAATAGCAATGCCGATCAAAATAAATATTGGTTCCAGTTGATTCTAACACTAAGAAAAAATAAAAAGTGTTCATACAATATAAGAATTCTTTGTTTTATTGCAGATTTGGGAAAGAGATAGAGGTGACTCTTCTGAAAAGAACGAAGTCTTTCATTCCCAACCTCCTGCCCTGAGTTCTTGTCCTGGTTCACAGGCTATCAGATGAACTGCACATTGCAAGGAAAAGGCACAACATACCCCTGCTGGTTTATTGACTTACCTGCCTCAAACTTTTCTTATTCTAACAATTAGGAACAATTTAGCTGTGTATCATCTCTAATTTGATGTTTAGTTTGGTGACTGCACAAAATAGAAACATACGCACACTGCTGACATATCCAAAGCAATATTAAAAACACATTCTCTGCTTCCAACCAATTTGTTTTTTAATATGCACAATTAGAATTCTGCATAAATTGACTCTGAGAATCTGAGACTGTTGCGTAAAGAAGGAATTCATCCCAATGATACAACCCCATACACATCCACTAACCTCCTTCACTAAAGCATCAGCTTCTTAAGGTAAGATGCAGGAGAGTAATTGAATGCAAGTTGAATGTGATTGCTAATAAGTACAGATTTGGTATGTCACACTTTTGCCAAGAGTGAATTTTCACAGCCAAGACAAATGCCAGGGAAACAGAGGGAGTTTGTAACAGAAACACTGGCAGGCACTGATATAAAAGGTGCTGCTACAATTACAGATTACCTGAGCAAAAAAGGTGATCTTAAGCAAGAGCTTTACTAAATGTCAGAAGAGAGGAATGGAGGCCAACAGTTCTGCAGCTGCTCACACAGATGTCCTTACTGGCCGACAGCCATCGCACACAGAAGATTCAATACCTTAGCTACCAAAACTTGCCTGCTGAAGATTTCCTGTCCTGGTTTCTATATGCAGTAAGGCATGGCAATATATAACTTGCAAAAGCAACATCATTCCTTCATGTGATTTGGTGCCTATGACAAGCAGATGCGTTAAATAACTTGGTGAAAAGAGTCCTTACATTTAATTCCGTTTGCAATTGAATCCATATCGGTGTTATATTTTTTTTCCCCTCATCCCCATTATACTCCTAGTTTTGATATCAGAAAGAACTACACAATCTTTTCATTTTCATCCTAGGGAACATGGCAAACTTCTGTATTGTTTTTTAAAAATGATTAAAAAGTGTTAGAATATACAATCTCCAGAAATTGAAAGTCTGTATACTTCTATAAAGATTGGATGAAATGATTTAATTCAAAAATTGGCTGGCTGACTCTTTTTGCATCTATTTCACTTATTGTCATATCATTCACTTAAGGAGGATGCTGAAGGCTAAATTCAGCAAAACAGTGTCATCCCTAAAACAAAGAGCCCCCCTGTAAATGTGCTCAGTACAGGCTAATGTTCCAGAAGAAATAACAGTGGCTGTGCATTAGAGAAGTAACGTGAAACCATGTGGGAAGGAGAGCATTACAAAATTGTTGAGCCAGATGCACCTTCACATTTGCACAGCTACCCCAAAGGCAATCAGAGACATACAGACGTGACAAAGCATAGGAGATGGCCCACAGGAGGACAAAGTTCCAGGCCCGACTAGTATTTGAGATAGTGATGCTTGTCCAACCACGTTCTACTGTATGTCGTACCGTTTGGCATCATGCTGAAACCAATATGATGATGAAGAGAGTAAGATCAGAGTAAGGTCATCAGGGTGTTCAGTGACAACTCTACTACATTACACACAGAGCATGGAGGGGAAGATACCCAACATATCTTAGCAGAATATCTTCCCATATATCCTATTTCCCATATAGGTCTATCTGTCAATATTATCTCCGTATGATCTTCCCAGGCATGACTCAGCCTATTAGATGTGTCGCACATTGCTCTCATCACAAATCAACCACAGTTTTCCCTGATATGTGGGTCACAATGCAGAATTCAAGACACAATGCCAGACTATCCAGGCTACGTGATAATTATATGAGATTTGATAAGCCTACAGATCTAGTAGCATAACCTTGGCTATGACAGTCACACCAAGCATGGGTACCTCTCTGCACATTCACCAGCTCTCTCCAGTACCGTTCACTTATGTACAAAATCCATTTCAGTAAATGTGAGAACTGTGAAGAAGGAAACTATCAACATAAAGCTATAGACTGTTCTCTATTCCCTTTCCCTTTATTTTTTCCTTTTCTTTCTTTTGTGTAAAAAAATTTAAACACTGGCCAAATAATTTCTTTTACCTGGCTTTAAGACTACAGTACAGTTGAATCTGTATGATGTACTCTCCTTTTTAGTGGTAGGCCAGCTTCAACATGGATATTTGCTATTTTTGAATGTTTTCTTGGTTTAAGTAAATTCAATATGCAAGGGAAATCTTAAGTACTTCAACACAATAACACCAAAGTATTCCCACATGCTAAAAAAAGCTATCTGAAAGTAATGCAGCAGGTCTCTGTACAGGGAAATTGGACCTGCATTACTGTTTAGCATAAGGCATATATTAAAATATATGATACAGGCAGCCTCTAAGCAAAACTAAGAAAGAACAAGACATTTCTGAAGCATGGTTCAAAAGGGTGGGATGGAGATCTGGCCCTTGGTTTGAGCACTCAGGGAGAAGTCATCTGCTAAGCCATGTATGGGACAAAAGGCTGAAGGGGAAAAGAAGAAAAGAGTGGAGCTTGCAAGGGTTGTTCGCTTTTGATTTTACCGATCAAAACAGATTTATTTGCCTCCCGTGCAGCCCCATATAAAGGCTTACATTAAAAAATAAAGATAAGCTACCATGCAACATCTCATCATAGCTCCCTCATTAGGAAGTGTTCAATTTTACACTAAAAATTGAAAGTGACTAAAAGAAAGTATGCTTGAACTCAGTGCTTTGGCCTACTGTTAAATCCTCTACATATCAAATTACATAGAAAATTCAATCCCATTATCCAGAGAACATGAAAATGAAAAGAAAATCAGGTCAGGTGAATTATCACCTCTGGTAATGCTGAGAAAGCAACTTAATTATTTTATTGCATTAGATAACCAATGTTACCTTAAGACACAGTTGGGCAGAAACCATAAGAAATTAAATTCTATCACCCTGATCCCTAAAACTGTCAGCATTTATTTATGAATGTAAAGAGAATACAACCAGGAACCTAATCAGCTCTGCCTTTATTGCAATCCCATTACACTGATAGCCAATTAAATCTAACAGTACTTTTAAAAATATGCAACTAATTTTGACTAGACACAACTGCCCACACACTCATTTTGCCCGTACAAAACATAAAATGAAACAGTAAAATGAGGTCCTGGTTGTTTCAAAGCAGCACTGAGCTTCTTTATTGAAAGCCTTTTGTGAACTGCACAGATGTTCAAAAGAATGAAGTTCCAACACACCACAGGCTAGCACACCCTTTACAAGCAAAGAACCATGAAACTTTTACAAAGACCTTAATCATGAGGGCCTCAAGTGCACTAATGAGTTTTAATTACCCCGAGTGGTATCCTTACACCACCCAACCACACGTTCTGCCCAGGAGCTCTGCTTGACCTCAGGTTTAAGCACTACATCCCTTCCAATCTATGGTGAGCGAGTGCCTATCTCTAGTTCCCTCTCCTGCTGCTGCTCCAGCCTAGAACTAGCAGGTCCCTTGGCACAGCTATCAATAGATCTAGATCTGCCAGGTGTGTTTAGGTACTGTGAGGGGAACAGGGTCTTAATGGGTAAGGCAACAGCTAGCGCCTGTATCACCCTCTGCTCCTCGCTTGGTCTACTACACATAGCACTGTCCTTTCATTGCTCCCCATCACTGACTCCAGATGAAATGTCCCTCTAATGAATCTTTCAAAACTTACGTGCTCATGGATTGATCCATTTTAAAGAATGCTCTTCAAGCTAGAGCTACTGATTTGTTTATGATAAAATAACGTGCATTTGCAGCTGTGGTATCATTGATAGTTTCCTAAAGAACTATTGCACGTAAGTTGAAAAAATACAGAGAAAGGGTAGTTCTGTATAGAAACACAGAAGGCTGATCAAAGATTTGACACAGATGTGGCTTAAGAATATTTATTTCAAATTGAAAAAAAAAATACAATTACAGAAAGAACTTTAAATGGCCACCAGATGTCCTCATTTTTTCATAAACATTCAGGGTACTACGTATCTGCTCAGTATGTGTGTCCTGATACATAAATATTTGTGGTAGCAGACCAAAAACTTCAGCAGGGATGGCAGACTGCTATTTATAAGAGATTTCTATTAGTGACTGTGGTGGAACTGCCTCTTTTATTCCAGGGCTTCTAATTTAGCCACAGCTGGAATTGCTTCTCCATTGAACTATGGGAGCACTCCTTGCTCCTGGGCACACAAAAAGCTCCTCTGCTCTTGTGGAAGCCTCGGTAGGAACTGTGCACGATGCTCTGAATCAATGTAGCTCAGAGCCCTGCAGACTCCAGTACAGCTCAAATCTTAACAGACTGACAGAGCTGCCAGCAGAGTTCAATTCTTATCAAATATTGAAAGCTTTTAGTGACTATATCTGAGGGAAGAGGATAATTAATGCAATAACTTTTAATCTGAACAGTTTATTTCTTCTTCAGACAAACGCAGCACAATAAATAATATTTGAATTTCAATATGGTGTAATTTTCTTTAGAGTGAAGTTAAATGAAAATTCCTGAGCGCTTTCAAACTGTGCCAATAGTCATTCAGGATAGCATGAAGCATGAAAGTTACAGGCTGACTAGTAGAAATCTCTGAAAGCATGGGGAAACTCAAAATCCCTGCTCACAGCATGGGGAAACTCATAATCCCTGCTCACCTGACTGGGCTTGGCCAAATCTTTTGAAAGCCAGATACTGGAATGTTAGGCTTAGAACTTCCTTGTCACTGTAAGGTCCCTTTTCACTTTTCATCCTTAATTCCAGCTAAGCATAAGGAATTTAAGAAGCAAAAGACTGACACAGTTAAGCAGGTGCAGAGAAGACAAGGCATGTTGTATGCTTTGTTGTCCTTTGACCTCACTGCAGCTCTCATATCAAGGTAAGGGGAGCTACGGCCACGATCACTATCCTGAAAAGGATTATTGCTGGTAAACCACAAAGGTAAGGTATTTAATTTCAAATAATCTAAATTTTTAATTTTAAATTTGTCTAAACTCTTCAGCAATTATATTGTTGTTCATTGGGCAAGTTGGATAGTGCTCAGGTAACAGCACAGGATGGGAAAGAGTGGATAAAACATGCAACAGTGCACCCAAAGATAGCGTATAAATCGTTCAATGAGTCAATTCCTTAACATGAGTCCTCTTATGCTTCATAATTAATGGATTCAAGTCTTCTGCATCTTTCCTGTTGATGCATGCAAGGCAGCATATGTGAAAGCAGTGGCTCTTGCTGGGCAGGAACAGGAAAACTGATTCATGCTGCAGGAGATCTGCAAACTGATCTCAGAGGGAATTTTTATAGCTTTTTTTAAATGGACTGCCATTTGAGAACAGTTAGGTCTGACTTCTAGCTATATAAGGGTTTGAAGAAAGAAGGTTGAAAGGGGGAAGTAGTATTTACAGCTGTCATCAAAAACTGCCATACACCTCTGTGTGAAACTGCAGGCTGAGCTGAACCAAGTCAAGCTACAGAACAACACTCATAAATCCCAAGAAATAGCAATTTGTCTTCAACAACATTGGGTTTTTCCTTGTCTATCTTCTTAACATGCTGCCTGGAAGATCTAGTCAGCACAGACACAGTGTTAGACGGTTTCACCTGAAAAATAACTGCATACACCACTGGCTTATCCAGGTGAGCTCATATTTGTGTCCTGCTTTGATGCTTCCTGCAGTTGCACAACTCCACTAAACCAGAGCAGGCAGTATCTCCAGTATTTTACTTGGTTTTAAGGAAGCAGAATAAAAAAGTTGATATTTATGAGAAGCAGATGAAGAGTTCACCCCTCCATGACTGCAAAGACAAACTGTGCATTCATCTCAAGCCAAGAGGGGTGTCAGATCAGCACCCTAATTCAGCAGCAATAGTTCATGTGTTTGCTGCAGGAGTGAAAAAGTCAGTGGGGGAAGAGCAGTGTGCTTCCACTGCAGGTGCCACTGGTCCACTCTGCTGTATCAGACAGTATCAATGCCGAGCCTCCAAGGCACAGCATATGTCCATCTTAGGGAGTTAGGACCTCTGGGAAAAGCAGAATCCAACCCAAATAAGTTTACTCTATTAATAAGAACTCTAACCAGTGCCTGCAGAAAGACTGTGGGAGTACAGTTAACATTAAAAAAGTATTTAACACTTCATCTCAAGAGAAGAAAAGACTTCTACCATGAAACAAGTTGTCTTATCAACCTACAAAACACATCCGTAAAAACACATACAAAAGAGTAGGTGTTTTATGATAAATGAAATTTATGAAGATTGATTATAAATTTATGAGCATTTATAGACACTTCAAAATATTTCCAATAAGTCTCCTCTCATCAATCGCATGCACCCTTTAAAAACAAACTACTACATTCAGAATATATCATATATAAAAAGAATTAACACAAGTATTTATCTAAAGCTTGAAAGATGTAAATACTATAAAAAGAAAATATAGATGTGTAGCTGACATCTATGTAAAATAAACAGCTAATTTCTAAACAACTCCTTTACTGATTACTGCTCAAACAAGAACACCCAACTTGAGACTGCAGAGCCATCACAAACAGGTTTTCTCATGTTTTACCACCAGATAGATGCTCCACGAACCTGCAGGTGCTGTTGACTGAGTCCTCAGGACAATGGTGGTGGCACTGACATGACAGCTTCTTCTGTGGAGGGGCAGGTGCTGTGCCTTCACCATCTTCTTTTCTGCTCTCCACGCTCAACTTGCTGGAGCTTAGCAAGGGCATCTTGTCCAGAAAACTAGCAAGAAATCAAGGAAGAGGAAAAAATATTTAGGCAGTATTGCAAGACACGAAATGGAGGCTTTAAAGTATTCCTTCACATCAAAATTTGAGTTATTTGAACAGTGATTTGCTACAGAAGAATTTTCTTTAGAAGTTCCTAGTTGCTGTGGCGTTTGAGGCTCACTGAGCCTCCGTGTCCTTAAATTAAAGGTGCTGATGTTCAAGTTCAGCTGCTGCCAGTGTTCCAAATAAGAGCTGGGATTTTACATACTTTGCAGTGCAGTTTTCCTTCTATTGCATTGCATAGCTCAGATCCTTGATTGCACCTTTGCACTTTGTTTCTCTTTGTAATTGGCACATATCTTCATCCATTGAACTCTGTAACACAGACTGGGATTTACAGCTCTGAAGGCAGAACTGAACATGTGTATAATTTGGAAAGGATCTAACAAAGTGATGCTCTCTCAAGTTCAACAGAACTTCCTATCACTGAATGGTATAAAGGCTGCTTATAAAAACTTTCCTCGTTTTTCCTTATAAAATATTGTAAACAATGTGAAATGCAAGAACGCACCCTAAAATGAACAGAAATACATGGAGATGATTACTTCTAAAAAATCAGAATACTGAATCTCCATGAGGCTGTTGCAGTACAGCTGGAGATGCTGATGATGGACTAGGAGTTGCTTAAGCAATTCATTCTTTCCCCTACCCCAATTCTTCTCATAAATATCAGCTTTCAGCGCTCGTGAATATTTTAATTTTCAAAGACAAAAATGAGATCAGCATGAAAAGCTTCAGTAGGCAGTTTCTCACTTTCCTGGTGCTTCCCTGTAAAGAATCTTAACTAAAGGGTCATTTATGAACAGCTGTCTCCAACAGAGCAGTAGATCAGGCTTGAAATTCTTGATCTACTGTTAAATCTTCAGGAACAATTGGCATTATTATTATTGTTTTGATTGACTGCTTCTTTGTCTCTAATTGAAATCCTTCCCAAATTTCCAACACCAGGACTGATATATTGCGAAGCTGAAAGAAAACTCCATCCTCCTTGACTCCCTAGTGAAAGAAGGGGTGGGCAAACAGGCAGAGGGGATAGGAATAAGTAGCTGCTTCGGGAGTGGGATGGCAAGCAAGGACTGATAACAGGCTGAAATATCCTGAGATAGTGTAAGGCTGGAGCAAAAGCAGGCAAAGGGCATGGTAGGAATTACCTGCACTCATAAAGACACTGGCAACAGCTGACAGATATGCTCTCATCTTCAAGTGAGCAAATTGGGGAATACCCTAGCAAATTGGGGAAAAAAGCTGAGGAAACTGAGGAAACACTGAGGAAAATGAGACTTTGTGTGAGAAAAGTGTTATTTAAACAATTTTTTTTTTAAAGATTACAGCCCTTTCACTCTTTGCATATTATGATCACAAATGAATTACAACCATTCACCAGATCAAATTATAATATCTATGAAAAAGAGCTTGATCATAAAATTTGTTCAGTACCTACAAATCCCATTGAAACCAACTGGAGGTTCTGATTAGCTCACATTTTCTGAAAGCCAAACCATAAAACTCGTTATAAAGCAAACTCTGTGCTTGTAATCCTTGTGCTCAGCATCAAGATATTGCCTTCATGACGCAACTGGCTGTTGAAGACTAATATTTTTAATAACTATTAAAAAGTAGAAAATTAGAATGTAATGGTTTGGTTCACTTGTCTAATCATTTGCTCATTGCTATCACTTAAAATACAGAAAGTGTTTAAGAAAAATAATGCAAAAAAGCATTTTGTTTCTCATAACATATTTATGATGTTTTGATATGTAGCTGATGTAGTTGATGTGTACAACAAATTAACATCAACAGAGATTTGGTCCTTGGGTCACAGGCTTAGAGTTTATTAAATAATTTCTTCCAGTAAGCAGATTGCCTGTATTCTTACAGTGAATGGGGAATGTTATATTATTAATATTCCTGTCAAGAATTTTCAAATTTCAAGCTCATGAGGCAACAACGTGACCTGCTCATTCATGAGGTAACTGAGTGAAATTCTATGCTCTGTGTAACATTTCTGTGTTTTTTTCTATAAGCATCTGCAATTCCATTAGGGATCTTTCCTCAGCAAAGGAAGAGTGAAAAAATGAAAGCACTTTATATCTACCACTTAAAAAAAAAAGTTTTTTCATGTATGTGAAGGAGACTGAATAACTAAATATCTACCTCATGATACATATAACGATAGGTCAAATCCTTTTTCAAGAAATAAGACCCCAATACAGTCTATGTCCATCATTCATTAAGAATAAGCTCAAAAAGAGCTGCAGAACTTGCTGTAAATAGGTTACATTCCTAGACCTGTCTGTACTTTTAAAATATTTTTTAAATAAAAGACAAGAGCTGCTAAACTAAAATCTGAAATCTAAAGTAACATTAAAGCAACAGGTGGTTGTTTGGAGGTGTAACATCCTTCTAGAAAACACAGGACTAGGCAAGCTGGCATTCAAAGCTACATTTTCTAAGATTGTGAAATAGGGGATAATCTAAGATTTTGCTTTCAACTCATGCACGGGGTCAAAAGTAGTGGAAAACCATTGCAGTTCAGTGCCCAATGTATACAACCAAATACAAATAAAAGAATCTCATATTCTTAGACTCTTATTTTCAAAAGAAAATCCTTCTCACTCTATTCTCTTGTTCCTCCCAGGTCTTAATTTCCAGGGACCTAGCTTAAAAAAATCTCTTGCCTCTGAAATTCAGATATTTCACCTTACATTAAAGAAATCTCCTGGTCAAAGAGGAGTTTCTGCTTGGTCTTTTGAATTCTTTGCCTGCCTGGCTTCAGAGCAGAAAGATTATCAGAATTTCCCACCCTTAAAATATAAAGTGTGTAGGATGAACCCTATCACAATATGAGCTTTCTATTGTTTGACAGCAAGTTCTTCCTTATTTCAGATGTCAAAGTTCAGATGACTAGGTCTGTTATTCTTGCCTTTGCTGCTGGATTGTAACAAGCACATGCTGATCATGCAGACCTGGCTCTGTCTAGCAATTAGAAATCTTTTGGGCTTTGAAAGTGCTCCCCAAGGGCTATATTCAAGTGCCATTAATGCAAGCAATAGGTCACCTGCAGTCCTGTACTTCTTCATCAAATTCAGTTGACCTTCTCAGCTTGCCCTCAGAATTTCATCTGGATGTACAAAGTACCTTCCACCACAAGAACAGGCAGTTGTCCTCTACAGTTCTTAGTCTACTGGGAATGCTGTTTATGAAAGATTTCCATCTGTACAACTACAACTACTCAACTGTGTTGTGATTCATTCTTATGAATGAAAAAGAAGGTTGTGTGCCCAGGTGTGCCTGCTTTTTTCTGTATAGCCTGGGTGACTACAGGAATGACTAAAGTATCTAGTCTAAACCCTCATGTTAACAAATAAACCTTCTTAGAAATGTTTTATTTTGATTCCCATCATTCCTGGATTTCATGGTAATCAAAGATAATCAAAGGTAATCAAATCACTAGCACTTCACTTTTAAGTATTGAATTCTCCCTTTCTATGTGTCAAATTGTTTCTGTTTTTCAGTTCGTTTTTCTATCTTCTTTCTAAAGATAGAAAAGTGATTGCATTACCCAGTGAATTAACAGTCAGAATGAGACATATTTTACTTTTTAAATGCAGTCTATAAGATTGTGATACTTTACACACAAAATGAAAACCACCTCTTTTAGCTTCTTTGCATTTACCCATGTAAGAGCATAAGTTCCATATACGGAGTGCATCTTCTGACATGAAATCAGTCCTAGAGCTCTGCTTTGGCTGCCAGTAAGCACTCCAGCCCTTGCCAACTATAGCCATAGTTATGTGATTTGGACAGGAATTCCTCCACTAGAATCTGGATAAAGCCCAATAACTCATTTCACACCGGCTCACAGCCATCAGATGGTAATGACTTTTGGGCACTACTCTGATTCAACAAACCCAGTAATGCAGGAGGTGAAAAGCTCTGTACTGTTACTGGAGTCCAAATCTTAAGCCACACTGTTCCCTGAGGATGAATAATTAGCAATAGCTACCTTGATAGATTGACTTCTGTGCCACAACCATGTGATTTATGTGCTAGCCATCCAGTGAAAAAGCAGATCTTATATATTCTTTGCCAGGAGAAAAAGTCAGACTTGCTTCTTATTAAAAGAGATATTAAGGGACAAACTAGTACAAGAAGAAAAAAAGAAAAATCAAAGAGCGTGTTCACTCCTCTCTCTAGATAGAGTATTCAAAGCCTCATAAAATCAAAGTACCATCCATTCATATTTTCCCATGCCAATAACAGCTGGCTACAGCATCCATTGACAGTGTTTTGTTTGCTGATTCAGAGGTTTACCAAGGAAGCTTTGCATGTTACTGAAGAGCCCTTTCAACTGCTTCTTTGTGCTGGAAATTATGTGCATAAAATACATCAAAGCATTTGAATAAGAATTAAAGAAAATCTTCTAAATCTATCTTTGATTAAAAGGTGGCAAAGTTAGTCAAATTGATAGAATTTTCATTAAGCCACAAGCTTACTTTATCTATAGCCTGCATTGCCCTACATGTTCAGCAGGCTTCTCATCAAATCATTCTTTTATTAAAATATGAAACTATCATACAAGACTATGGAGTTTCCCATGCTACATCATAAACTACAGCCTGATGACATCCCACCAAGCCAGTGTTACACCACTGACACAATTGTTTTAAGAGAAAGGGAAATAACTAACTGCTAACTTACTGCACTTCACAGTCATCAGATAAAAGAATTTCCATGGGATATTTTTTGGCAAATAGTCAGCAATGAAAACACAGCGTGGTTAAAGAAGCTGAAATAAATTAAACCTCCTAAGTCAGCCTGATCCACTGTGTAAAATAGTCAAGAGGTAAAAGTAAAGCATTTTTTATTGGTGACAATCAATTTATAAAGAAGGAAAAAAGGATCATGACAGTTTCTCTTCATCGGATATTCAAAGTTGACATAAAATTCAAG